TTTTAAATGGTGCTTCCCAAATCCCACCAGCCCCCCCTCCCTCATAAAAAATGAACGGTCCCTAAGGTTACATACGATGAGGCAAGGCATCGGCAAATGCTTTGATTATGTTCTCTGATGAGCAACAAAGAACGAGAAGGGGCTTGAGTTAAAAAAAAAACACTAAATAGCAAGATTTCAATGGCAATAAACTCACCATGGCATATATGAGGCTGCAATGAAAAAATAAATAATACCACGATCGCTTAAATGGAGGAAAAATCTCAGGGACCTGAAAGAAATATTATCAATATACAGAATACAGTCAATATGTAACACTTAACACTGTAAGTGTAATGAGAAAGTCAGTTGTATACATTACAGTATAAAAGCATAGATGTAACAGTGCTAAATTAGGTATTATGGCCAGTGATATTTCACATTTGGTTCAGGTTGATCAAGGTTCATTGTTTTGTAGCACATTAAATGGAGAAACCATAAAAAATTCATTCACCCTTCATAATACCTTTCGCCATGTTTCCATACACTTAGTTTATGCTTCTTTAGGACAACCTTTGCAAAATAGTTGGACAAGACGAATGTGATGAAAAACAAAACCTTTATCAGAACATTTCTGTTCCAGCAACAACCATCTCTTACCCCAGGGCCATTTCGAAGACTTTTCACTTTTTGATCTGTGGGTCAGTACTTGAAACATTTTAAAAAATTTTATTTTGTTTCATCGAGAGTCTTTTTGCATCCTAGGGGTGGTGAATATGGTAACTGCAAGACTAGCATTTCTCCTTAGTTTTCAGCCCAAGAAATATTGACTTTTAGTTTTTAAATTGCCGGATGGAGACTTCAAAGCATTTAAAATCCAAGGACAAGACATCCAGATTCTAAGACATTCAGACGCAATTTTTAAACAAACAAATCAGACTTTCTGAACCTTGCAAAAATTCAAGGCTCCAAGAGAGCTTTAAGAAAAAATTGAAACTGCAACACACGTATGCTAAAAGAACGAAGCTGTTTGACCCATAAAATTCGATGAAAATTATGAGAGACTCATTGTTCATGAAGGACCATCGCCACCCCTAATCCTACAGATGTGCATCTAGCAGCCAGGGCTGTATTAAAGGCTGTAACTCATTATACTAACACCTGATATGGCTGAGAATGCTTGATTTTATATTGATGCTACTGGTGAAATTGCCCGTTTTTAATACAATTCACCCACAAGTTTGTTACAGGTGTGGAGAACAAGGCTACAGGTGACTGAAAACTTAACGATAGCCCGGGCATCATAGGTTTGTAATGTGTGCAGAGAGATAGATCTTATTATATTCATAACATATTGAATGTTTACTAGCAAACATTTTGATATCAAAGTCTGCAAGTCATTGTATCTCACCTGGCTTTACCAGTAAGGCTGACAGCATGAAACAAAGTTGATATCAGGAAAATTAGAATAAAGGCAACTCCGTAAACTAAGGCAATTAGTCGATGGCTTGCTGACAGCATTTGAGAATTTTGGTGGAGTAGATACATTGCATAAACAGCTGGCAACACAAAGAACTGAAACAAAGGCACCAAAGATGAAAATTAACATGGCAATAGCTAATATCTGCATTTTGATGTACCATCAAAATTAACTTCTGAGAGTGAAGAGAAAACTGACAAAATTTTTAGCAACACCATATAAGCGGTATCATGGTAGAGGGATATGTGGGTCAAGTCAAGTTTTAACTTTTGCACAAAAATCACGTTACTTTCAGCAATATAATTTGTCAAAAGTCAGATTTAGTGCTTTATTCTTGAAGCTAGACTAAGTGACATTTTGAACATTGCTTAGACTATGAGATATGGATTCAGGTTAATTGTAACTAGAACCTTGTTGTCATCTTTGTCGCATCATAGACTGAATTCTAACATAGTTTCAGGGGCTCGAACACCCCCCCCCCTCTGCATTTCATTAAACCATGAGTTTCTGGACTCTCCATGTTGTGTTGTTGGCTTTGTAGTTTCTTCTTAAACTAATTCACTCGCTTTTCTAATTGACATAATTAATGGACTTAGGGCCTGTTCACAAGGAGTGAAGGTTACCCTGGCAAGTGGCTTACCCTAGCACTCACACATTTCCTCTTCTTTTCTCTGTCGTGTTTACAAGGTAGCTAGGGTTACCCGGGTAGGCAGATTACCCTATCTGCCTCCTAGATTTACCCTTGCAGGCAGGTTACCTTTTTCCCTTGCAAACACTCCAGGTAGAGTTAACCCGCCTACCCAGGTTAACTTTCTACTTGTTTCCAGACCCTTTGAGTGTAACCGCGTATTAAGTTGTCCTGCCTATTAAGTTGTAGGGTTACCCTATCTGTGAAATTTTGCTTGCAAACCCGGGCTATCTTTTGCCCTCCAGCTAGGGTTAACCCACCTGCTAGGGTATCCCTCCCTCCTTGTAAACAGGCCCTTAGTTTGGTGTCTTTAAATTTGTTTTTTGTTTGTTTGCTTATTGGCTTGTTTCATTATTGGTAAAACTTATCATTCCAAAAGGTCCCCCTCCACTCCAGAGATTGCTGTTAAGTTTCCTACTTTAAAGTTTTGATTTTTGACCCCAACTCCCCACCCCATAGAATTTCCAATTAGCTTCCTTGGGGTGGGTACGGGTATTTTCTGGCACTGCACATTAGAAAATTAAATTCAATGAAGCCTGGTTCTCATATCCCGCCAACCCACTTGTGATGTAGTTCACTGTTGCAACTGACAATGTTCGGTGATCTGTTTGAGTGGGTCCCTCGTGCATCTGCGATAGATCACCGACGTACTCAAATTTCTGAAATTTGCACAAAATACAAATCAAATTGGTGCAATTTTCGACCATTCCACCTGTAAATATGGATCGAATCGTCTTACTGGAGTATGTTACATTTGCAGATGATGTTCATATAAAATATTTTCATCGCCAACAATCGCCGACTTCCACTGGCTTGTCTGCCAAGTTGAACTTAGCTCAACTTCGCAGACAGGCGGTCAATGCCTGGGACAGATTGTAATTCGGCAATAAATGTTCACATATGCCGTAATGGTGACCCAGGCTGTGCCAGCAGCTATGTCCCAGGTATGTCGGCAGCATATGAGAACCAGGCTTGACTCTAAACTCAGATGTGTAATTATTCTTACTCCATGAGTGATGATGTTCGCTGTCTGTTCTACTGTTGTTGGTTGGTACGCTTCATTCTTTTTGGCAGGAGGATTCATCAATCTGCGAATTATTATCGTAAAAGGCATACTTAGACATTTAAGTGGAGACAAACGAGCTGGGATCTCATAGCAGCGGTATTTATTCTGGACAAACGCACTAGTTATCCACGTGCTTTTAGTTGGTTCATCCATATATAAATAAGGAAATGTAATGGTACAAGTGGTACATGGGACACACACACAGACAAAATTAGTATGGGTAATCAAATGGTGATGAGTGAAAATAAGAAATAATTTCATGCGCATATTTTCCTAATTTCATGAGTGTATCATTTGACTATAAAACAAATTATGATTACATCATTTGATTACCTTTTAATATTATGGGCAGTGGCAGATCCAGACCTTGACCTAAGAGGGGGGGCGGGGGTTGTTTTGCTTGCCCTGCCTGCTTTTCTTTCTTCTGTGATTTCTTCTTTTTTTACCCAAAGNCAGGGGGCCTGGGCCCCTCCCCTAGATCCGCCACTGGTGGGTGACAAATTACACTTACAATTGTGGGTTTTTGACTGGTTGATTGTATTAAGAAATTTCACGCCAAACATTGCCATAGCAATTTTTTAATTTCATTTGAGAAATAATATTAATTTACACAAAATTTAGGAGTAATTTGTCACCCACGATATTATACTGAAAAATCTCACCTCTATCTCCACATAATTTTGTTTTGGCTTCGCCTCACTACAAAATTTTCAAAGGAAAATTTCCTGCTAGAGTTATCAGCTTGCTTTCCATTGTGTCATAAAGAGTGGAAGCAAAAGGGCTAACACTGAATGAAAGAATCAGCCTCAGTTATAACGTTTATTATAGCTTGCATATGCGCCGATTCCCTTTAACATGATTTTATGGTTCTGCTAGGACACATTTATCTTAAGTTACCAGCGCGAAAAATTGTAAAAAAAAAACTGAATCAAAATATCAGACTAACAACCATTTGCTGAGAAATCCTTGGCTAAAAATCAAATTAAATTACAATAATTTAATGCAGACATGCTGAGGTTAATAATTAAAGAATTGACATTTGCAGAAGAGACCGGTTTACCTTGAGCAGCTGAAGCAACTCATTATTATTGAAATCAGTGGTCTGTAACAGGAAGAAATCTTGTCTTCTTTTCCCAGAGATCAGCTGAATTAAACTAGTACGTACGGTTACACAAACTGACGATTTCGATCTGTTGTGACTATTCTCAGCTCAACTGTGCATGTGGAACATCAGAAAATTACCTCATGCCAGGATGCCGGTGACAACCAACTTTCACAGAGAATCTAGCTTCGTCAAGTCATGTTGTCGCGATTTTAACTTTCAAAGCAATTTACAGTGTCTTCCGACAATTCAAGATTTGACCTTATTTGACCTAAGAAAAATTATTTCTCGTATAATTCAAAGATATCATCAGAGCTCAGTCGGATTTGCAGCACAGCGACCGGAACAGCGACACTAACTTGACAAAACACCCCGTCCCTACCCGAGACAAAACCGTTGTAACGTCCTTTGCGGTCGTGCTAAATTCATCAACAGATGAAATTGACCGACCAGTGAGAACGAAAGTGGCTCGATTATTTTAAACAAATTTAATCTCAAGAGATGCTGTAAGCGACAAAATCTATCTGGAATGACGGCTGTAGACCTCAAGGAACAAGGAAATCGTCTTTTTAGTGGCAGGCATTACGATGACGCAGCCCAGTGCTACACAAAAGCTATTGTAAGTAAAATGTGAAATGAGACGTTGAAGAAATGTCTGTGAGCTCATGGCACAGTAGACTGTTCACTGTTGGAAAAGCGGTGTTTTCTTTAATTCTTCAAACGGCTCAACCTTTTCATGTTTACAATGATGTTGTCTATTTGCGCTTAGCTAAACTAGCCTAAGGCAATATATGGTTATGACATTACACTGTGGCTTGTTTTCAAATTTAAAAATTTCCCTCTTTTAATATTCTCCATTCTTTGCATATTTCATCGTGGATTTACCTTAACTCAGAACTAAATTTCATGGCACTTTTTATTTTTGAATTAAACAGTCTACATTTATGTAAACCTTATACAGTAATTGGCTGAGGCCATATGTCATCATTTGACAAAATTCTCAGTTTGATTCATCACAAGCAGTGCAATTGAAATCCCAGAAATATTGTACTGAGTTTGTGTGCCCATAACCTAATTACAGGGTCATATATTCCCATATAACACACTAAAAAAAATGAATCTGTTCTGATTGGATGAGAGCAGTGCAATAAATCACAAATGTTATTGTTAGCCCTCTAATAATATACATGAAAAAATTACTCAATTCTGACTGGCTGAGAGCAGTGCAGTTCAAGTGTAACACCAGTGCTAAAAGTATAACACCAGTGCAAATTACACATCATAATTCTGGATTATGATTAGCTGAAAGACAATAGGAAATTTTCCAAGCCAATGATATTTCGTAAAATGATGACAAAAATTTTGTGTGGAAACTTTGAAAAAAGTTTTCTCAATTGCGAAAAAATGTCTTCAAGAAAGGTCTTCCGGCACTTGCTCCACGCAAATTTTTTCATGTTTATATTATTAATAAGTAATCATATGGTTTTTCTCATTCAATTTGGGATTAATTTGCACTTTTGAGTTTTTCAAAATCTGAAATTGCAGTCACCGAAGTGGCTCATGCAATTTCAACTTTTTGAAAAACTCACTCGTGCAAATTAACTCCAAATTGAACTCGAAACCATATGATTACCTACACATACTCTCCATAGTAGGTACAACATGATTGACTACTGGTTTTTGGGAGAAATGGATCTATGAAAGCAGCCTTCTCCTGATTTAGCCCTAATCACAGACAGTCCAAAAAGCTAATTTTGTGTAGTCTGAGAAGCGTATCACCTTAAGGTGATAAGCTTCTGGTAGACTATACTGGTGGTTGCCAAGACTGTCTCAGTGTCATATGCAGGATATTCATAAATCTGGTAGCCAAAGATCCAGTAGCACAGATGTGATATACTTCTAGCATTATAAACTTCTGGTAGTCATAACACATCCAACTCACAAGGGCAATGTTTCATTGCATTTCTCAAAACTAAGAAGGGGTTGGAAATACAACACAAATAAGGTGACTAGTGATTAGTTTTCCATGATAATGAACTTTGAGATGTTAACTTTGTATATGCAATCTAAATTATACTGTACTGTCTTGAGTCTTTGATATATTTTTCTAAAACTCATTATTTTAAATCAATCAGTTTACGCAAAAGAAGTCATGACTGTGACAGTGTTTTGATATCTGATCTGAATGAGCATAGATTTGATTTTGAATGATTTTAATTTCTCCATTTTCTCCTCTCTTAAGATATATCAAACATTAAAGACGATGTTTGACCACCTTTCCTATGCATCATATTTTCAGCTCTTCTCAGTTTTTGTGTCTAACATATATAAGATTTATGATGTCCTTTTTTAATTTCTTTTTAGATCAAGAATCCAACAGTTCCTACATACTTCACCAATCGTGCTTTGTGTCACCTCAAACTGAAGAAATGGGCACAAGCCATTACTGATTGTCGTCGAGCCATAGAGCTTGACCCAAACCTTGTCAAGGCTCACTTTTTTCTTGGACAGGCACTCTTAGAACAAGAGAATTATGATGAGGCCCTTGCAAGCTTGAAAAGAGGTAAAGAAAATGTGATGTAGGACATACAAGTTTTTCATTTAACTTTACTAACTGTTTTATCAAATAATGCTATGTTATGTACTTTCCTTTATGTAAACCGCTGCTGGTCAGAGGACATTTCGATACAGAATAAAGAGTAAACTTATGGAATTCATTCGATAAGGAATTCATTAGATAAAGACTTAAAACTGTGCAAAGGTTCAGTAAACTTTAAGAAAAATCTTAAAGCAAAGATGCTTGACAAGGTTTTGAAACAAGAATAGTGTTGTTTTTATTGTATTTTTATTGTATTTGTCTTGTTCACTGAAAAACCTATTTTTGGGAGTGTGTAATAAAGTTTCATTCATTCATTTCATAATTTCATACTTAAACCTCATTCTGTTAGTTAAATATTTAAACGAAATTATCAAGTTAAGAATAAATGTTTACAATGAACAGCACAATTCTGAAATAAGATGTTCTCCTGGTTGATACAGAATTTAAATCTTTTGTAGATGATAAATTAGTGCAGTGTAGTTACAGTGTACATGTACATTGTAATTCATTTGGTTTTTATCACCAGCTTATGATTTAGCCAAAGAACAGAAACTTAACTTTGGAGATGACATAGCAAGTACTGTTCGCCTGGCAAAGAAGAAGGTTAGCAGTACTTATTTTGCAACAAAGCTGTTATTAATTAAATATGCATGAATGTATTTTAATTTTTAATCTGTTTTTTATGGTCGATGAATCACTTGAGAGCTGTCATATTCAGTAAGTATTTATTCTCGTGGTTTAGTCCCTTATTGCCACCAGTAATTTTATTAATTTCTTTCAATTTAAGGCATAAAAATTTCAATCCAAGAGTCACTTCTACCATTCTGAAACTGGACATATGTTTCTCCCTGAATTTGTATCATGGCAGAAAATCACAAGTTATCTGATGATATAATATTCATATTGACACTATTGCAGATGCAAATTGATGTAAATGTTTGATTCTTTTAAAATATCTTTCATTATTATTTGCAGAGATTTAGTGTTGCAGAAGAAAGAAGAATTAGTCAGGAAATAGAATTGCAGTCATATCTAAACAGTTTAATTATTGACGAAAAGAAAAGGTAACTTTATTATTGCTTTTTCTATGGCTGCCCACTTCTTAAAGGTGCATTTCATATTCATGATTGCTTATCTACTTTCTCAGTGGTTGATATGGTTACTTATTTACTTTCAGGCAGGTTAAAGCTGCAGGAAAAGATCCAGATGAAGAAGAGCTTGATAAAATTGAATTGGAATGTGTAAGGAAAACTGTTCTTTGCACAATAGACAGGGATGTTTCTTCTTAAAACAATCCTAAGAATCAGCCGAACCAAGTGGCCCATCAGGCCGGAGCTTATCCCAGTTTCTGTACCATGAAGTGACTTGGAGTATCTCTACTCCCTCCTGGATGGGATGCCAGTCCATCGTAGGGTTACCCCCAGCATTAAGTTTGCAGGTACCCATTTATACACTTGGGTGGAGAAAGGCCAGGGCTCAAAACTGGACCAATCCATCTGGAGATGAGCGCACTTACCATGAGGCCACCACGCCTCCAAAATCAAAAGTTAACTTTCTTATAGAATCTTGGATTAGAACATTGTAATAATACAACTCCTTCTTGTAGGATCGAAGATTATCAGAAGTAAATGGCCTGTTTAAAGAGGTTGATAAAAGGAGAAAGGTGAGAACAAGTCATATATTATAAAGCACTCTTAGGGTAGCCAAATCAATCACAGGTAAAATTGTGACTGACTAGAGCAGCAGGTGCAGATCCATACCAGTTTCCACCATCTTATGGAAATCCATCAGATTTTTCAGAATGACTCACAAACCTAGGAAAGTGGACTTCAGGGAGTTAAAATACAAAACATTTTCTGTGGAGCATGGCCCTGGACCCTCTAGAAGCTTGCACCTTCAGCGCTCATTGTTTCAGAAACTGGTCACCATATATCCTAGATCCATGCCTGAGCAGTCTTTGCTGATTGTTGTTAATAATATTATTATTACATTGACTAAGTTAGTTCAGAGAGCCAATAACTAAAACCAACCAATCAGATTGCTCCATTGCCGGTCCAATATTCTCTAAGTATTGGACAGGGCACTGTCCTGAATTATCTCACAAGATCATTCTTGAATAATTTGTAGTAGTGTAATAGCTTGCATTTCTGAAAGAACTTGCTTTCACATGAAAGATTACTTTTCTCTTCCTTCTGACTCTCTTTCCCTGCTGTTTTTTTCTTAATATCAGACGTGAGTATACACCCAGTCGGCTCCCAATCAGAATTGTGCACTTGAACTTTGCGATGTTTTTCTTGTCTGCGATCACAGTATATTTTCTCCACGCCCCCCCCCCCNATTACTTTTCTCTTCCTTCTGACTCTCTTTCCCTGCTGTTTTTTTCTAAATATCAGACATGAGTATACACCCAGTCGGCTCCCAATCAGAATTGTACACTTGAACTTTGAGATGTTTTCTTGTCTGTGATCTCAGTATATTTTCTTCACCGCCCTCCCCCCCTCACCCTGAGAGATGTAGTCATTTCTTCAGGGGGGATCACTGAGCAAACAAATTGAGATGTTAGTTAATTGAAGAAATCACACGTTGCACATTGTTACCATTTTGTTCTCTTGCAGAAGAGGGAGGTTCCAGATTATCTTTGTGGACGGATCAGTTTTGAACTCATGAAAGATCCTGTTATTACACCCAGTGGAATCACGTATCTTTGTCTGTAGCAAACTTCTTTTTCCGAGATTTGATGGAAATGAAAGTGGTATTGTAAATATACATTGTTTTGCTACAGAATATATCCATACTCCAGCTGCAGAGTTGTTGTTGTTGTTTTGTGGGGGGGGGGGGGGGTTACTTTTCTTATTTCTTTAGTGGTATATGTTTTTTTTATTTCTTAACTTTCAATAGCTATGATCGTAAACATATTGAGGAACATCTGCAGGTAAGCCACGTGGGGTTTCTGTTTGTCTTTTCACTGCCATTCAATGATAGTTACAAAGAGACTAAGGTCGTGCTATTGGCATCACCCGTTTCTGGTTGATTGGGTTGGTTGGGTTTTTGCGTGTTCTGTTGGGGAGAAACCGTTTTCGGTGGGTTTGGTTGATCAACTTTTTCAACCAGTCTCAAACCAGATTGAAACGGTTGAAAAAGCATTTGTGTGATCATGTCGTGTGATTATGTCGTGTGATTATGTCGTGTGATTATGTTGCGTGATTTTAGCTCGCATAAGGACTAGTCCCAGGAGTTACCACGTTTCAACCAACTACAGTTGGAAAAGTGTTCTATTGAGAAACGTCAACCATAACAAACCAAACCAGTTCTGGTTGAAACAGTTGATCCCAATAGAACACGACCTAAGAGACATCTTGCCTCTCTAGAAAAATATGCCATCATGACAAATTTGCCGCTCAGGAGTGGTACCCTGTGGACACAAGCTGTTGTTGTTTTTATTCTACTTTCATTTGGTTCAGAATGTGATAATGAATAGGAGACATAAGAAACATGAGTATGGGCAAGCGAAACTTGTTTGAACCTGTGTAAGTAATTTGAAACAAAACTACACCAAAATGCTCAGGTTACCATTAATGTAAATTATCCAGTTCAACCTGTATTAAATGGCCACCCTCAGGGAAATGGATAGTGGTTGCTTAAAAGCGGTTGGTTGCTTAATAGAGGTAAAAACAATAGGAAAGCCCTCATCGGGACCTTGATTACTGGCCACCTAATAGGGGTGGCCATTTAATATGGGTTGGACTGTATGTCTTTTGGTTAGGACTTTTTTCAATCTTGTAGCCTTAACAAAGTGCAGCCACCTCTCGCCTCTCGGCCATTTTGGCGTCTTGCAAGAAGTTCCTTCTCGCGAGAAGTGCTCTCGAGAGAGAAGTGCTTTCTCCTGAGTAGATTTCTTTCACAAAACAACAAACTTGCTGTTAGCGATGAGAGGCGGCTCTTTTTGGCGGGAGGGTATCACTGTGGAAGAAATCATTACCCTATTGAATTTTAAATATAAAAATACCCATCTATTTAGTATCCATGGTAACAACACTCTCTTCCCATACCAAATTCTTCCCTCGTTGGAGAGCCTGCTGACGTTCAACCCAGCGGGTACTTAAGTCGAGACTGGGTATGCAGATTCGAGTTAGGTCTCACAAGTGTGGTTCCTAGGTTTGGAATTTTCCCGCACGAGTAACAACCAATCAGAGAGGCCGCACTAATCTGTAGAGCTACGTGGACTACGTCATCAGTTTTCTTGGCTGTTACTTGGAAATCTCTTGAATGGGGTGGGGAGGTGGGGGGGAGATATTGATGATGTGATTATGATGTGTTGTTTGTTTGTTTGTTTCTCAGCGTGTTGGCCACTTTGATCCAGTGACAAGAACAGACTTGAAACAAGAGCAGTTGACTCCCAATCTTGTCATGAAAGAAGTAATCGATGCGTTCATCACGGAAAACGAATGGGTCGTGGAAGAATACTGAAAACCATAATACTATGTAAATACAAGAGAAATATATTCACACAATTATTTTGATATCAAATACGCAACAATTACGCTTAGTCAACTGTGGCGGTGACGAACGTAGCTTTATTTATATTCGCCACTTTAGAAGCGTGAAGAAAGCTGGGGAGAGCTTCAACGCAAAGTCACATGGGACAAGGTGAGACTCGCCGCAGATTTCTTCCAAAGGCTTAAGTTGCTTTTCTTTTCGGTGCTTGTTTTTAAGAGGTTTCAATGTGAATAAAACTGTTGAATTTTTGCCATTTTCGTTTGCACTTGTTTATAAACCTGTTAATATATTACAGATCAAATGCAATGCGACATTAGTCAGCTGGCGCGAGTCCAGAGAACCTTAGCGGGGTCGTCACGCAACGCTTCTTCCAACTAGCGTTGCGTGACAACCCAAAAACGGCTGTGAGTAGACTACCTTATGCGAGGTCTAGAACCAAAACCTTACGTGGTCTGGGAATACCGAGAAAATTCGAAACATTTTGGGTCATCAGCTTGCGCGCCGAAAAGTTCGTTAGAGCTACGAGCGGTTTCCGAAGATTTCTCGGCTGCAGATTTCGCACCTGTTGAATTCGTATTAAAACTTACAAATGGCCGCCACAATCAAGTCGCCTCGCTCTTAGAATTACTGGAAACTCGACAAAAAAACTTCTTTTTTACCTCTTTTGAGAATAAAATATACAGCTGCTGTAACCTTAGTTTTTTTCAATATTTTGTACACCATCTTGGACGTATTAGATTTTGTACCTTTGAGGAAGTCGTGGAATACCGTCATCTGAGTGAGCAGTTTTACGAGTCCTGAATTTATGTTTTATTGGACTCTGACATCAGGCTAGGGTCCCTGTAGCTAAGTAAGGAAAGTTTGTGTATTTGATAAAGGCAGTTGAGAGTTGGCAGTCTTTCGTCGATTCTCGTCAATAGTTTCTCTTTGGCTTATTAACAATAAAAAGGCATTTTTCTTTGATAGCCAAGGTAATAGACCATTTCCGAATTTCCTGTCGACTCTGCGTCAAAACGAGTCTTCGAGCGCAACCATTCATATGAAGATATGTTCCACCTACAGGTTCGTTTTCATGCAAATCAAACTCATTTTCATATGAAAGGTTTTTTGCACGAGGACTCGTTTTGAAACGGAGGCACAAGGTGACTCGTTCATGGAGTCTGAAGCTAAAAGCACAATTAAAGAAGAAACCATGGAGTTCGCGGATTTTTTTTCTGCTTGGAGAACATTCACAGTAAAACATGTCAGTTGCCCAAGATTTAAACCCGGCATTGGTGACGGGACAAGAACCGCGCCGGTTAGTCACATGTCTGGGGCGGACACAGGATTTTGGAGAACGGGGTTTGAGATACGGAGGCACGGACCGAAGCGCCGACAGCGTTCCCCTGTAAGTGGGTCCGGGAGCATCCTACCCCAGAAAATTGTTTTAAATTGAGGTCCTCGAAAGTGGGATTTCCGGCATTCTGACGACAAGTCAGCGTGTTCATCAATGTCTCATTTCTTTTAATTTAGGGGGCTAGACTGAATACTCGAACCCCCGAACTCCCCCACCCCCTAACCCTAGATCCGCCCCAGCATGCACTAGCCAGTGAACGCACTGCCAGTTTCGTACCCAGATCTCAAACTGAGAGACTTGACTGTGGGGAGAAACGGGACTGAGTCGCGTTTCGAGCATCAGTACCAGTTTGTTTCATGCTAGTTCACTGTGCTGGCCTCGTAATGGCAGTTCCGCTGTTCCTGTGGAGGGGGGCTGGGGGGCTACAAAAACCTGCGTCGAAGGTAAGGTTGCTGTTTAACGGTTTGCGTTTAATGAATCCAAGCGCCGGGAAAGAAACTAAATTAATGAATACATCAATTCACAAATTCATTCAGCTTTACATCAATCAACCAGCTGATGATGTTACTTAATGCTGCCTCGGGACATGATATTTCTCAGATTTAATTAATCATTCTTTTGTTGATGTTTAATTAAAGTAATTAATTTCAGTTGTATTCAATATTTTAAGGATGTCATTAACCCCTTCACTAATAGTATTTAATTAAAGAAATCAAACATTCTTGGAGTGTTCTTTAAATCTATAAACAAGCGCCATCAGACCAAAACAAACTATTTTCAGTGTCTCTGACTGAAGCCTTAGGGAATTCCCTTGACCAACAAGGATCGACAGCTGATCTGATTCAGCCGACAGAAATTTCCGGACGGTAGCCTTTGAAACAGACTCTCTAATAAATTCATAAAAAGTGTTGAAACGAGCGCAGTTTAGCGGGTAAGCTCATCTTCGAGATGGCCTTTCGACCCTCTACTTCACAATGGCGCTTGTCTACGGGTCGTGTGAGAAAGATTTTGGTTATCAATCTGGCGTCTTCAAACATTTTTAGGAGAGGGCTAGCTAATTATCTGTTCTTCAACAGTTCCACTCCGTTTAATTTAATGAAGTTTAACTAGACACGCTCTGCATCTCATATCTCACGTTTATTTACCAGTATAATTTTGTAGCCCAACGGCTGCAGCCGAATGGCTTACAAACTTGGTTATTTTACTTTCTAAAATCTGAATATGATAGCCACGTTTACTGATGAAAAGAAACGCAGCTATACTAGCATAACCATAATAACTTTAAGTGGCGTTTAGCAATTTTCAATTATTTCACAGGTGGCTTTTATTTTCACCCTTTGAACGGGTGGGCTCTTTGAACACTAACTTAAAACTTGCGAAATACAATTTCACTGAGCTGTCGATATTTATACTTATAATTGTAAGTCCGCTCTACGTGTGCAATACAACAGTTAACAAAAACTGATATATTCTCCTGGGGAAAATTTGTAGTTAATGCACCACACTTCTTTCCGTTTGCTATAAAACTGGCTCGCGGTTCGTATAAGACAGTCATTCTCCTCTTAAGAATAACTTGAATATTTTATTTTATAGATATTTATATTTTCTTTTCCTCTTTCAGAATAACCTCTAAGCATTTTGTTGTGACCATGAAACCTAATGACAATAGATCAAACATCATCAAGAGAATTACTTACAATTTTTGGTATTGTTCTGATGGCCTAAAACTGTTAGCTACTGTTGTCTTAGAGGGACCGTCATGTGAAGTTTTTATTTACAGAAATGAAGAGGCATATGTTTCCTATAGAGGCTGTGGTAACGGATGGCCGCATTGTTTCTACCGATTTTTTGAGATAAAATGACCCAAGTTCTATGTCACGTTTCTTTTTAGCAGAGGACGAGGGCATTATTTGTAACTTCTCCCGTCGGAACATATCACTATGGACTGCTAACAGTCTGTTTTTCTCTTAAAATCAGGCAGGGATTATGAGGCGAGCGGTTTCAGCCCAGAAGGGATTGGGACATGAGCGCGGCATGAGCGCGGCACTGATAAACACTCGCCTGACCCTAAGAGAAGAGACTGGCTGCCAGCAGTCTTATATCTTTATAACCCAGTTAGTTCTGACTTGTTTCATTCGCTCCCTTGGTTCTATACCTGTTATTGAAAAGTGTTCACTTCTGTGACACTGTCTTAACGGTTCCTAACTTGGCAGTTTTTTCTTTCCTTGCGAAAAAAGCTGTACGATTTTTTGTGTGTTGAGCTGAAAGCAAGCACTGCTTTGAACAACAGCTCAATGTAGGCGCTATTTCACTACACGTCTGTTTCACGGTCTGGGTTTGGAATCAAGTTTTGTGACAAAGACACCCGATATGTGATAGAAGCGTCAAGAGGGCCCCTAGTCTCTTGGCAAAAATGCTTCCAGTTAAATTTCAAAATGTCCTTGAAGCGCTGTCGGAATTCGTCACTGACAAGGGAGTATATAATTGGATTGGCAGCGCTGTTGGTCAACAGTAAGACGGTGCAGATGTGGTACACGACCCAAATGTACTTCACTTTCGTGTAGTCTACGAAAACAGAAACAAGACGAAAAACATGGAACGGAAACATCGTCACGGCGAACATAATAACAACCGGTACAAGGATCTTCAACGCTTTTGTGTTTGCATTGTCGAATTTTTTCTTCTTGGGGCTTTTGTAGCTGCCGCACATATTATGCATTTTTCTGTGTAGCAGTTTGCTGGCGCGAATCTTGCAGGCGATTTGCCTGTACGCCCACAATATCAAGATCAGCGGAAGGACGTAAAAGAGGATCGAGAGGGAGAAGACATAGAGGCCGAAGGTCAAGCCATTTGGCCACTTGGGCGTGCAGTCGACAGTCCCATTCTGTTTGTTTTCGATGAATTCCATCACAAAGTACAGAGGCACCACCGTAGCCAGGAAACCTGCCAGCCAGATTGACATTATCACCCATTTAGCGATCGTCAGCGATCGGTACGCTGTCATTCCACGCACGATCGCTCTGTGCCGGTCGATTGCTATGGCAACAATAGATCCAATGGAAGCGCTGTAGAAGATGTCTGTGGATGGGTACAAAAACTTACACACTACCCTCCCCAGGGGCCATTGCAACGGGTCAGCGGCTTTGACAAGAGTCAAGGGATAGCAGATGGCCAGCACGCCGATATCAGCAACAGCCAGGTTGAGTATGTACTTATGAACAGCGGTTTTATTGGCGCGGTTTGCGCCTGTTATGATGATAACCAAGATATTACCCACAATTCCAACAGAGCAGATGATGGCGCTCAAGCTCAGACGAATTGTTTCGACAAACTTCGGTTCCAGTTCGGAACGTTCGGCCATCAGCTGGGACGAGTTCGCTGGGTAGTTGGAATTATTGAAATCATCCATGTCTTAGGTGGCAAGTTATGTTCCACGTGTTGAGGCAGCTTCACTGAGAGCAAGTTTTTCCTTTAACCTAAGAAAAATGAAAACGATATTTGAGCAATTCTTTGTTCAAGGTTTATAAGTTTTTAAATTGGGAACTCCAAATTTAGATGTCTGATCGGCAATCACGTAAGCTAGCAATCTGATTGGCTAGACAGCCGGGCCTAAAGGGAGAAAGAAATATTGAGTACTATAACTTAAGTATTGATTAAAATCGTAAAAGAATATTGAATATTTCAGTTTCCAACCCACACGTTCCCAGGGCTTTCCCTTAGCGATTGGGAGGAGCGCCCCTCCCAATCTCTCAAGGAGAAACCCGAGGTGTTTCAGTTTCGTTTTAACTTGGGAATAATGATACGAATGCTCTCGCGTAACGGCTACGGGAATCAGTAAGGAATATGTCAACGCATCGCCACTGATGATTGAATAAATCCGTGATTACAAATGTGGGGTGGTATGTGCTAGCATGAATAGTTCGGTATTTACCCTGGGTATGAAAAGACGAATAGCAGAGATTGATCTTAAATCATTGCTAATAAGCAGTTATTTGGTGCGACTAATGAACCGGGGAGGGTGCTACCAGAAACATTGGAAGGGGATGCAGCGAGCTTCTTGAAATCCTTACCCTAATTTAGACCAAAATTTGTTATTTTTCCTGCCCTTTTTCATACCCGACCTAAAATTTGATACCCTATTCTAGTTAAGATCGACCCTTAAATCAACAGCCATTTCAGAACTGCCTCATAATCTGTTCCCTACCCTAGCCTACTAGCAGTTGGTTTCTCAGTTCCTTGGTCCAGACCAATATTAAGGGCTATGTTTATATGCTTTCATTAAATAAACTGCAAAACTGTACAATGTACGATGTCGATGGTCTTAATTATAATGATAAAGAAGTAGCTTGTTCTAAAATCATGTCCAGTGCAAGACCAGAGGACACAAACCATGACACCATGACGTATTTCAGACCAAACGGATCAACAACCATACCCTTTGGCTCCGCACATATCTATATAGCCCCTTACAGGGGTACTCCCCACATAGGGGGTACCCCACCCCTCCCGTGCCTAATCAGACCCTGTGGGTCGGGATTAAATGCTGAAATCGGTAGTCATTTCAAGCCATTTTGAAATGAAGAGAAGTCTAGGAAATATTGCTTGTTTTTCAGCGAAAAGTAACTTGCATCATCAACGCACAATCATCAACAGCTTATTGCGTCTTTCAGCAAAAGTTAACATACAGTGCAAATTAATGATACTAAAAGAACTGATATCGTATAAAATATTCAAGTATGATATAAGCGTAATATCGTATCTGTTATCTTGATCTACAAGTTCCTAGACATTAAGTCACATAAGCTGCATCGTCCAGCACTCACACATATCCTGTCCTATATTTTTGAAACACAAACTGATTCAATCACTGCAGTGCTAGTGTCTATTATTACATTGAATAGAAAACTGATCCTTATTGAGACATCAGCGGTATACTAAAGACTTGTGGTGATGGCTAGGTGCCAGAACCTCCGTAACAAAAGCTAAAGAGTTCATCGTGCAATTGTAAATCCAGTGTATCATAGCTAGGAACATCGTGAGCTTAAAGCATCAAATTAAAACTCAATCACAGTTGAATGAATTAGTATTAACCTCAGTGACCTCAGTAGTACCTTGTGTTGGTGTGAAGTTGTAATCTCTATCCTGGACACACCACATGCCTAACATACAGTCATCAGTATGTTCGGCAAACATACTCAACAGCTCTACACTAGCGTACACTGAAATTGTGCAAGCTGTGCGGACAGCTGTACATTGAAACGTGACCAGAAGTGAAAAAAATTGAAGATCGTTATCGGTGCCAAATAAGAAACATATAAAAATAAGGTATAAACGAATTTTTCGAGTCATTAAAAGGTGCGAATGCAAATTCAAATTGAGAAATAATTTGAAGTGTGGAGCCACGGTTGGTTTGAGAAACAAAAGCGTTCTCTCGATTGAGGATTAAATGATTAAAAACATCCACTTCAATCATAAGTACTAGTGATACCAATCAGAGACACAGCTTAGTGTTGTCGTGCTTTAAATGAAAGGTCTAAAAGATAAACGCCAAGTGGTTTGAAGAGGTATCGAATAAACTCAAGGAAAGACATATATTTAGCAACATACCTCAAGACATGATTGCAAAAAGTGCCAAGTCGCTTCAGACTACCGTTAATGCTAATCCATTATTTAATCTATTGCGCTTGTCGCTTTTGAAAATGGTGCTATTATTTCATAGAACAAGGGATCAAAACACAGCCATTATCCTACCTCGCGCTGTATTTACTGTGATCCAACTAATCCACAAGGTTAAACTGTCCGAGGTCGACACGAAACCATTCGAGTACAGAACTGAACCAGCAACAGCAACAGGTTCCGGTTGAGTCTCAAGGAGCAATCGATAGATAACACTCTTGAACAGTCCTTGAGTCGATCATCCAGCTAGTTAAAGCTAAAACACGCTCATCCGATCGTATTATGTCCGCCTTGGGTTTGATATCTCAAACATCAATCAACGCCAAAGGTAAAATTTGATGTCTTGTAAATCAATTATTTAGACGATTTAAGCGGGGGCTCTATGGTTAGCCGGTGATAGCACGAAACATTTCTCTGTACAAAACTCTGGAGAGGAAATGACGGCAAGCTTTTTCAAACCGACTGATTATGAAAGAGTATTGTTCCAAGTGAAATGAACCGATTAAATCTGGACCCAGAAAAAACGTTCACAGACAGTCAATTCAAACCCATTCTTTTAATTTGTCTTGAGAACAAGCCAATCAAAGACCATCAACACCTCAAGAATGGATTTCAGAAAAGGAATTTTACGGGTTTCATTGGTTCTATTGTAAGCGTGTTTACGAAGGTTTGGCGTGTACCATCCTTATAAGCTGAAACAACTAATGAGTGACAAGAGAAAATTAGCACCACCAGGAGCCCAGTTACCAAAGAACACACTATCCAGATTTCTCCTACTGATTGTTAACCACTCCCCCCGCAACCTGCAGTCATCGGCAGAAAACTCCTTACTTCCGCCGGAATCGAGGAGGGGGGGGGACACAATTCTTAAACAAAGTAACTAAAGTACATTAAACTCACACGGTCCTCTCCGTTCCTGAACTCAGCTCAGAGAATGGTATTTAGCTATCACGGAAAAACCAAGAAAGCGAAAAAAGAGAAAACTTCAAGCAAAGAAAGCAACTGAGGCGATGCTATTAAAAAGACCTCTGGCTGGTGATGTAGACGTTTTCGTCTAAAAGCCACGCTAAAGCTCGGGCTCAAGGAATTTTTAAAAAAGTAAATGCCATTTACCTTTTGGGGGGAATGTTTTTTAATAGCGCAGGCTGCGTTTTTTTTTTCTTCTGTAGTTTGCGCAAATTCATCGGCCGCGGTAACTTACCAACGGTTACGCCTGGTGTTCGCAGACAAAATTGCTTGTCCATTATTTACTGAAACGCTTGTTTAAAAAGGAAGCAAATGTCATCCACGGGCTTGCTAACTGTCTGGCCTGTCATAGCTTATGTACACGAACATGCATGCAAGCTGCTGAGCTTTTCATGTTTTAAGAAATTATATTTTTGTACCCGCAATGGGCGTACTTTCATACGGTGTTAGTTAGTCGACTCCAAATTTTTAACTATTTAAGTTTTGTCATAATTAGGCCACTTAGGTAGTACGTCCGAGCTTTGAATGTGGAATGAAACTTAAAAGGAAAACGTAAAGAGTTGACCTTTTTTCTGAAGGAGGTACCGAAAAATTTAAAACATGTTTGCTTGTCCACACCATCCTTAATTATTTTTGTTTGGCCACATGCACCGCGCTTTTATCGAAGTATGGTAACAGGTAACACGTTTGTATAAGAACTTAAGTTTTTTTTTTAAAAACTCTCGCTAGCTTAGCTTAATTTAAGGTCTTAAAGAACTTTAACTTTGAAAATTCAGTCTTAAGGATGGTGTCAATATATGGGATATCATTTGCTAATGATGGCTTGTACTCGACTTGGGCATTTGAATTCTCCTATTAGATATTTCATTATGTTTTATCATTTTATGTTCAAATTTTCGCATTCATAATCTCTTACCTTCGCAGTAAATGTAAATGAGCCGATTCGGTACTATACTCTGTTGATTCTCAGTTCTTCTGCATGGTTGTTACTAGAAATTTCGCTATTACTCACACACTGTTAGCAACCGCTTTCGCATCTTTGGAGGGTACAGCAGTAAAATACTATCATAGGCCGGAATGGTTTCTCAAACTGACAATTCTGCAACGATAGTTCAGAAGAGATTCTCAGCGCGTAGGAGGAACAGTGAACAAAAAGCAAAGCACCTGGACCATATACGGATAGATATACAAACATACATAGAAAAATACAAAAGAAAGTTCGCTATCTTGGCCATGTTGATTGAGTATTTCTTAGCACACGGGCCGTTAATTTTCACTCAGAAGACCCAGTCTTTGTGCCAGGTCTTAATTAAACCTGTTATACAATCAATTCAATGCCCAGGGTGTTGCGAAATTCTTCGACCAAGAATTCGCTTTAGAAAAGTTGAGACATTGGTATCTCAAAGGAAATCTTCTTTGTCTTTAAATCGATCAAGATGTATTTTTCAACGATAGCCGAGTTTGTTTCGAAAGCTGAATATCGTTATTTAGGCACTTTTATTTAAATGCAGTTTCAGAACTGAAATTAATTGAGCTGTAATAAGCCAACGATGGTTTGAATTGCTGCCGTCTAAGTTTTTTTGAAGGCGTGCTACAAGGATTTCAAAATAAAAAGATTCTATGAATTTCTTCCAGGTTTTATCTTGGTTTAATCTGCTTTATATTATTGCGAGCAAGAGCTTACCTTTTGTAATACCTTTTGTTTCGTTTCTCGTTTTCCTGTAGGCTAAAACATCAGACATATTCAGCTATCTGCCAATATCTACTTTCACAACCGGTAATAAATGAACAGGTATACAGAACATTTGTATGTTTGCCGACTGTCTCAAAAATA